TCTTTGATGCAGATACGTTTCTGAAGATACCTGTTTTAGTAGGTTTCTCGGCCCTACGAATATACCGGTTAATGCATTACGGATCAATTATTACACCGGTTAATGCAAAGAAGAGCACAAAACGTCAATGAACTATACACATCAGAATGAAATAAAAGGCATAACACTAGTATATAAGGACATATTGATTAAGGTTACTATAAACCTTTCTTTTTTTCTGCTATGTCATGTTAAAAAGTAAAAGAAAAACTCAAAAAATCTTATTTGACGTTAATTTGTCTCATAGTGCAGCAAAAAATAAAAAAAACTTTTGAGGCAGCAGCAAACAAACAACAACCTGGGGCTTTGTTTCTACAAACAACATTTCGATTATGCTAATATAAACATTGAATAGAAGATTTTGTATCAGTTTAACAATTTTTAATTTGGAGTTGGACAATGATCTTCGTTCGTGTTCAAAATATTATACGTAAATGCCGTTTCTTATACATTCAAGTTCTTCGTCTTTTTACATCAGCTTTGGAAAAAACTTCTCTGTTCCCGATTTCACTAAAATATATACTAACCAATTGCTTCCCGTTCCTGGTTTCTACCGTAGTCTGACCAATCAATCGCGTATGGCCTTTTCCTTTCTTGTTAATAGGTGTATGTATGTAAGTATATTCCCAGGGTAAACATCTTTTTCCTTTCAAACTAACTACTCATTTTTACTCATTTATGCGCAGTTATGACTCTCGACCTAATGGACCACTCGTCTTTTCTCCTTCATGTATATATACGGCGTGCAATTGAGCCCCGTTTGCACCCGCTTTCACTCGAAGTAACATATATAATATGACCAGGTAAGTGACGGAAGGTAAGTACCAAAAATATCAATCAATTATGGCACAACATCGATTCAGCGTCCGCATTCCAAACAACCCTGAAAATGGTCCCCAAACCAGTGCCCAAACAAGTTCGCAGCAGGACGGCCTCGTAGACAACAGTGTACCGACAAATAGCCCATCGTATGGAGTGATGCATGGTGCTGCATCTTTTTATTCATCATTCCCATATTCACAAGTGCCTCATTACCCTCCTTCTCCAATGACACAGACACAAACAGGAGGAGTGCCTTTGCTGCCAGCACCGCCCGCGCAGGCCGAAGAAGCATCGATACCACCTGGTGACCAGCAAATCGCACAGTCTTCCGGATCACAATCGGCAACGCACGTACCAGATTCTATGATGGCTGGCCATTCAACAACTTCATCAGTACCTGCTACGGCAGCTACTACGCCAGCAGTAGCCTCTTCAAGCGCAGCAGCAACAGTACCTTCTGCAACCGCACGAACTACAACTGCGTCAGGTATAGGACATTTCTTTTTGTTTAGTTAATAATTGTTGTCGTCAATACACTTGTTTATCGTTTGAATATGTGTTTTAGGACGAGCCAATTGGACGAGTGAAGATATAAAGAAACTTGCCAAGGCAGTAGCAAAAAGGAAGCAGCGGTTTTTTGCAAACAAGTCGTCAACCGCTGCAACTATCAGCCGGACCATATTTGCCGCATCTTACACACAACAACAAGTACTCACCAAGGTAGATTGGTTGCGAGACAAATGGGAGAAGGACACGAGAGAAAAAAATCTCCAGTCCGGTCAAGGTGTTCCTGGCGGTCTACACTCACATATGACATGGGAAGGTAAGCTCAGATATAGTGGTATTATATCTACAAGGACGCCTATTGCATTGTATATACTAAGCTGTATATAAAAAAAGCTTACGTTAAATTTAAGTGGCCTCTATGGGAGGATTGCGAGAATATATTCGGCGACAGCATCGGTGCCAACTCTCAAATCCAAATGGATAGCTTGAGTGGGCTAGTGGACGAGAGCGATAATCAATCACAGCGAGGCGATGACGCTATTCGTGAAGAAGTTCAAGAAGCTTCGGGACCTAGACTTCACGTGGATGATGAAACGTAAGCTTTTGAAATGCTCATTTCGATGGGCTATACGATATACAGATGTTTGTTATTGACCAAATACTTCCTTTGTTTCTTTCTTTTTTTTTTAGCATGGATTTTACTGAGAGTTTCATGTCTGAACGTTCGCGTCTTCACGTTGAAATACACAAGACTCGTCAAAAGCAGTTGGACCTTGCGATCGAAAAAATGCGAGCCCAGACTCGACGCGAAGAAATAGCACATGAAGAACGCATGCAACGGCTGCACCATGAACACGACGCGCGATATATAAAACGTTTGCGACTGTCAATTGAATTAGAAGAGTTGAAACAAAAAAATGGGGGAGAGTACATATGGAGAGAAGAAAGAGAGGAGAGACGGGAGAGTACAGAAGAAGCGAGTAGTGTGGCAAGTAATGTTGGAGGGTAGAAGAGAGAGAGTAGGTTTGTTTTGTTTTTGATTTTAGTTTTAAAATATTACAATAAAAAACAAAAAGGCCTATCGAGCTGTGATTCCAAGTGCTATCTTCAAGTACACTCGCATCATTTCGCCTGGGGTGATTTGACCTCTGTTACGTCTAGTTGTGTCAACGAACTCGTTACCTTCATCATCATCACCCCAAAAGTCATCATCACCGGTCCGACGAAGCTCTCTTACATTGCTCATGTCTGCGTCTGGATTGCGGCGCCGTTGGAGGTCACCAATGACGCTCAAGTAAGAGCCGTCATCTTTCACGTTTTGCACAAAATTGTGCAGCAGACAACAAACAGCAATCCAGTTCATGCATCGCTTATAATCATGTTTGCTTCTGATCATGATCGGTAGACATTTTAAGCTTTGCCATCTGTTCTTCAAAAACCCGATCGTACGTTCAACCTCCACTATACACAAAGTAGATCAAAAGAAAATGGCTCAACACACAAGAATACGTGGACAAATCACAAATTCATAATAATACAACGTACCTCGTACAGACGACAACTTTCGATTGAACTGAAGATTTTCCGGGATCTGTCGTGCCTCCCCTTTATATGGTGTGACAAGACGCGGTGACAGAGGGTAAGCCGCATCGCCAAGAATGTATTCAGATTCATCAAAGAATGAATCCAAATTCTTTCCCATCATACTTTTACGGAAAGCGCGCGAGTCGTGTACCTTCCCTGTTTCACCAGCAGAGAAGTAATGGATCCGATCGTGGATATCACAAACGATCTGCAGATTAAGTGCATATCTTTTCTTTCTCGTGAAGAATTGTTCGCCTTGCCAACTTGGCTTGTATTGCAACACAACATCAGTGCCGTCAACAATACCAATGCATTCTTTGAATGCGAGGTCTTTGATATCGCGAAGATCGGTCTTCAGTTGGCTGCGCTCGTCCTCATTGGGCCAGAATACGAATTCCTTGATATGCTTCAGTAATGCATGAATTACCCTGTCCGTGAAGAGAGCAACTGTGCCCTTGCCGAAACCATATCTTGAAGCCACATCATCAAGATCGCGCGACAAGTGACCGAATCGGTATAATGCGATTCCCAACTGAATTCGAACAGGTGTCTGTCGCATTTTCCTTTCGTTTTTGTTGAAGACGCGGTCATCCTTGATGAGATCGTACAGTGCCTCAAACGTGTTCCTGGTCATTCGAAATTCGCGTCGAAATGCGGCGTTGTCGCTCGTTGTAAACAAAAGTTCACGTAGGTCGACGGCTTTAGGTTTCCTTTTTCTTGATACCAAGTAACGGCTTGACAAGACCTTCTTGACAAATTCTTGGTCAAATTCCGTCAACTCGAGTTCTTCATCAACGAAGTCACCCAACAATTCTTCGTCATTGAGAAACGACATGTCAACGTCTTCATGAATGGGCATTGCTTCGTCTGAGATCAAACCCCATTTCCGGTCGAGATCGTTTAAGAACTTATGCTGACCACATAGCATCTTGTCGGAGACCTTGCTAATGTTGACGAAGTGCCGTAAGACACGAGCTTTCTTGGTGAGGCGAATCTTCTTAGGCATAGTGGACAAGTGTGATAAACGTGGGTTGTGGATAGATAATAGAGGTTAAATAAAAGACGATATGAAATACAGTGAGAGTCAAATATGAGATGATTTTTATTGAATGAATTCACAACCCTTTATATACTGTTGAAGATGGTGTCTAGACTTCCGTTTGGATGAATTGACGAATGGATCGCGGACATGCCGGATTTCGGATGTTTCAAAGATGAAGAAGGATGGGAGAGTTGAGTTTGTCGGCCATGATAATGATGGATGTTGTCTTCCGATTGTAAAGAGTCATCTTTGTCTTGATCTATCAGTGTGTTCTTTGTTTGGTGAAGTCTCATCTTTGTCAAGGCTGGAATTGGTATCCGCTCTTTGACAGGTACACTTCGCTCAACTCAGATAAGCTAGATTCACAGGAAGTGCTGACTAACTTGAGAATAGGACAATGTGTATACAATGGTTGGTCCTGAGCTATTCTCGATTGTGATCCATGTTTGAGAGATTATCGATATGGTGCTAATTATGTAATATTTGATTCATCCGTGTGTGTGGTGTTCTCTCTACTGCGCTCTAATGGTTGCGAAGACGGCGGAGTGGGTTGAGTTGTCTGGATCAATGTCAAAGTAGTGTGGTTTACCACTACAAGAAGCAAAGAAGGAGAAAACAAATCAAAGTGACAGAATTACTTATTTAGGCAACTTCACATATTGAACTGCTTAGAACTGGGTCGTCAAAGTAAATTTTTCCTGGACCATTTTTATTGGTTTTTATTTTTTATCAGCGACACCTGTAAATTTCCAGGTCCAACCAACTTTGACGAGGCCCAATTAATCAGCAGAGGAGATCAAGTATACTATTTGGGAATGCTTAACTGAATTATTGTATGAAGTCGATCAAAATCAGTTCAGGCTCCTTCTAGATGCATTCCTATCTGACGTAAGTGGATCTCAAGCAGACTTTGTCTCCTACTTCTTGGCGCCAATGGATAGACAGCATTGGGGGTGAAGGCGTTTATCGGTGGGCAGCATGTTTCCAGCTAGAAGCCTTTACCAATATGCAAACAAACAATTACGTTGAGTCCTGGCATAACCAGTTGAAGACATATTACTTGAAGCGCAAGAGAATGCATCGCTTGGACTTACTAGTCCATATACTTGTCAAGGACGTTTCATTCGATGTCACTGAGGAAATCAAACGCCTTGTAGCCAACGTTGGCCGTATAGGTCCATATGAGCATGCTTTGTGCAAACACGAGATAAAGGCTGAAGCCATTGACTGCACGGTATTGCGCGATATGGTTCAAGAGTCCTCATCTAGAGCAAATCTGTGTTCTTCGTTTTCGGCAGAGCGCGTGGTTTATACGGTATAAGAACTAGTTGCTTGATCAATAGCTACTGTGATTGTTTAGTTAATGTTGTTGTCTGTTTATTATATTGCAGGTAATTACTGGAAGCAATCAGATCATTTCTTGCTCCTGTGCCCAGTTTAAAAAAGAATACTTCCCGTGCAAACATATGTTTCTTGTTGAGCGGTATGCCAAGACTATAACAGTGCGACCATCTCTAGAGAACTGGATAGCAGCCATTCAGCATACCAACAATCGATCAAGCAACAGCAGCACCTTCGCACGTCCTCCTATGCAAGAGCAACCGCCACGCGAGGACGGACCTAAGGAAAGCCTAAGGCGCGTGTTTAAGCAACTTGTTGACGGGTCAAATGCTAATTATCATCACATTGGTAAATCTACTATTGATGGTAACAAAGCTGACAAGGTTGCACAATTAACTACTAGAGTGCAAAAAATGATAGAAGATACTGCAGATATTGACACCGAACTCAACAGCATCCTATCCACACCTTCTAATTCCAATTTCCAACGTCAAAATAATTGAACTTCTTCTCTATTTCTAAACTTTTATTTTATTTCTTATCAAATACACTCCATCTCTATCTAATAAATATCTCCACCCAAATAAAACGATTATCATCCCATATATATCATATATATCCATAATCCTTGATCAACCGATAAGCAGATGTACACATATGGATGGTTATCAAAGGCGACAGCATAGAGCCTGATAGCTTGTAATGGCAGATACAACAAGGTGGATCACGATGTAAAACGATGTCCCTGTATTATCTAATTTCTCCAGCACAGAATAGCATCCCAATTCCTATTGTCCTTACCTACAATTTCGCTTTTTGCTTATGCAAACTTCCAATCGTCCGTGGATATATGTGTATGTACTGTAGTGTGGTATTGAATAAAGCAAGGATGATAGGGATAATCACGGTGCAGTAGCCAGGAACACTAAAAGAAAGAAAAAACGCAAGTGCTACATATTCCCCCCTCCTTAACACTTTAACCATTTTACCATAATGAGTTCAAACTGTGCTGCTAGCAGTAGTTGTGCATGCTCCATGTACTGAATAGTTGGTAGGACTAGTTGAAGATAAGCAAGAACGGCGTTGGTTATTTTTGCAGCGCCTTGCAAAGCATAAAGAAAAGAATAACCCTTACCTCTTCCATTTCACCAAGTTATTAGTCTTGAGCCGTTGCAGTGAATGAGTTCAAAGGATCCATCAGTAATGCCATGACCTGTGATGCCTCGACTGTATGTCCTATAGACGGGAAATATATTAAATACGAGTGTTACTTTTTGTTTATGGTGCTATACATATGCAAAGAGAAAAAAAGCTTGTTCCATTTTGTACCAAGTCAATAATCCTGATTTCGTGTGTAAATGAGCTGTGGATAGATGCTAATAATGCTGCTACTGTCAAATGCCTTGCGAATGGGCATGCAGTGACGATGAACGTGTTCTGTAAAGCGTAGAAAAAGCAACTGTCAATCACGCTGTTACTGCCGTGTTATACAAAGTAAAGAAAAAAAACTTTTTCTGTCTTTTTTCTTCATCCATCTGAGACATTTACCATAAGAATCTGTCACCAAGTTGATCCTTTTGTGCAAATCCTCAATTTAGAAAGGGTTGTTGTAGCTAGAGCTAGCAGAATGCTTGGAGATGAACTCAAGAGAAAAAAAAACTTTTTATATAAGAAGCACATGTACTTGGTGAAATTTTCCCTCTCTGAAATACTGCATTGCTGCCTAGCACAGAGGAACACCCAACTCTTATTTCTAGGCTGGAATAAGGGAATTGAGAGGAATGCGGTTATGTCTAGTAGGTCTTCCTCTACTACAACCACAGGAAGTACCAAGATCAATACGACCAACCAAACTTCTATCAGCGCGTACCTGAATACTAAGCAATCAGTTTCAGTCAGATCCTAATTCTAAAACATAGTAGCAGAAAAACTCACAACAGCTTCGGAAGTAGTTTTATTTTGTTGATGATTTTGGCTCATTTCGAAGTATAATCAACAGAGCGACTATATATATAAAAAAGTTTTTTTCCTACAGTAATGCGTAGCAACAGGAGTTTGTAGCAAGCAAAAGAAAAAAAAAGAAGCAGATGTTGAAAAACCAAGGCTGAATCCATATAAGGAAGGTAATATTTGTGAATTGTCTACTAGGATGTATCCTATTATAATTGATAAAAAATTAAATATATTAAAAAAATTAAAAAAAATTAAAGAATTTAATCTCAATATTAAAAATAGTAGCTCCAAAATCTAATATAAAGATTATAATGAAAGATTATTTATTATTACATATTAAACGAAGTTTTGATATCGAATCTGTAGCTAATATACATAAAAAAGTTGAGTTAAAATATAATATTATTAAATATACAAATACAAATTCTAATATTTATTAGCTTCTTCTTCTCCTCTCCTTCCAGTCTCATTGAAGACGAAACAAAGAATGAAGTTTTTTCTATGAGCAAAGCATCTATAATATATACTAATATTAGAAATACCAGCTGGTATTTTTCATATAAAAATTAAATTATTAGATTTATTTAGTATCAGACCTAAAGGTCCTAGAAGAACTTTGTTCTTGGGTTCAAATCAAAGATTTGAAGACTAGAATAAAGAGGAGGAGAGAGTAGTTATTAATTTATTTTTTTATTACTTTTTAAAGTGTTGTTATTTTAATTATATAGAAATAAATATATTTGATTCAAATAATAAACCTTTAAGTATTGCATTTTCATAATAAAAGAAGATATATATATAATTACTTTAATATTTCCAATTGTAATAAAGTATTAAAAAAACATTATTGAGATATAATAACAATTTAAATAATATTAGTGATTGATTAAGTTATAAAATGGATAAAGTAAAATCTGTCAGCTATCTTTATAATTACCTGTCTATTATATTATAGATTTATAAAAGGGGATACCCCTAGGTGGTGGTACTTATATAAGATAGATAGACACACATATCTATCTCATCTACCACCGCCAGAGTATTAATTTATAATAATAAATTATGTGGTAAACTACTAATAATTTGGGTGACTATAAGAATTTACCCAGTGCGACTGCTTCTCCTCGAAAAGTGACTGCTTTTCTTCGACTACCATATATAGAAAAGTTAGTGCGAAAGTGGTTAAGGCATCAGCTTTAGACCCAAAAGATCAAGGGTTCTAATCCCTTAGCAGCCGATAAGTTATAAACCTCATTTCTGGCTTACCTAAATGTTTCTAGAGTGTGGGAAATAAATTTACCTAAAGAGTTACATATAAGCAATAATCTCAGTTAAAAAAGAGGCCCAATTCATAGAAAAATTTGTTACTTATCTTTATATTACTATAAATATATAGAAGATAGAAATAATAGAGTGATATTTATATAAGAGTAAAATATAGAATAGATAAGACAGAAAAGGGGTTGCAAGGTAGTATAAGTAGAGAGAGAAAGAAAAGGAGGAAGGAATAAAAGTAGTGAAAAAGAGTGAAGAAGGGAAGGAAAATAAGGCTAATCTTCTATATTAACTTCCTCATTACTACTATTCTCATCCTCATCACTAATATTAGTAATAATATTATTATTACTTATTTGTTGTACTTGTTGTACGTGTTGTGCTTGTTGCTGATGTTGTTGTATATACAGCTAATTTAGCTGAGAAATCAACTGCCATTGCTGCTGTAAGAGCTGTTGCTGTTGTTGGACCTGTTGGTCTTTTTGCTCTAATTCAGATTACAGCTGTGTTATTTGCTGTTGTTGTTGCTGTAAAAGCTGCTGTATCTGTAAGTGTTGTTGCTGTTATTGGACCTATTGGTCTTTTTGCTCTAATTCAGATCGCAGCATTGTTATTTGCTGTTGTTGTTGCTGTAAAAGCTGCTGTATCTGTAAGTGTTATTACTGTTGCCTTTGCTCTTGCTGCTCAGACTGTGTTGTAACAGCGATGTATGTGATGTGAAAGTGTGAAGCATTCCCCTATTGCGACAATAGGCCCACACAGCCTATTTTGCACTCTTAGTATTTAAATATAATTATCATCATAAATAAACATTGGCTTCTTTCTTCCCCTCTTTCTTTTTGGCTACGTTTGAACAAGATTTTGGTTCAAGACACAAGAAACGGATAACTCTTGTATGTGAAGCAGACAGAAGTCCAATGGAATCTATATGGAATATCAAGGATGTAAAGGATATTAACGGATCATGGATATATTATAGTTTTGCACAAACCTCTCTTCCCCACTTGAATTGTTTTATAGTCTTATATTTGCTTTTGTATCGTCGTTCAGTGTTTTACTGGTATGTACTGGTTTCTTTCATATTAGTACCTATTATCCCCACAACTGTATCTGAAGATTAATTTGTATATTGGCAATAGTGTGACGTCTGTTCATTTGGATCTCAATACAATAAAGTGGTGGAGAAGCTGGGCGGCAGCCAACATCCACATTGCCACTATACCATAATTTTTTAACAAAAAGGACGAAAAGTCGAACCAATCTAAAAAATTGAAAAACACGAGCTCAGCGACGTCATCTGACTATAGACTCCTCTCCTGAAACAACCCTTGATCAACCCCGTGAAACACCCCATGATACATCCCAGTACCTAGTAGTACACACAGAGAGCAACAGGGCGGATGTCCCCACTTTTTATGGTGACCCAGACAGGGATGACCCCCTCAAATTTTTAGACAGGTACAAGGAGGTGTCTTTGGCTAATAACTGGCAGCACGATCAGCGCAAGATCGATATGATGAGCCTGGCTCTGAAAGGAATCGCACGAGAATGGGATAAGGAGGAATACACCCCAACGTCAATCTATGATGACAGATCGGATATGTGTTTTGCTAGTCAATTCAAACAAGCCTTCATGACAAGCAGATGGGTAGAACGGTACATGCAAGAGTATCGCCATCGTCAGTAACTAGCTCAAGAGAAAAGCTTAGAATATATGACGAACAAAATGGCCCTAGCACGTAGATATGAACAAGGTCAAGGAAGCAAACTACAAGTCCGTGAAAAGATCACCGACGTCGTCTATGGCTTGAAGATCGAATATTGGGAGCAATTACCTCAACCTACACTGAGCACCTTAGTAGAGTTGAGGCAATCATTGGTCAATGCAGAGCGACACATGAATGTCATTCGTCATACAGTTGGTCTTGGCGTGTTACCTCAAGCCAACACAGCTCATCCTGCGACAGGGTTAGCGGCGTATCACCATAGAAATATGGAGGCTCCTGTCCATGTTATTTTGAGACCAGTTCAAGACAAGGCAATGCCACAGCGACACCGCCCAGAAACCATACAAATCACTCAAGAACAATTGGAAAACACTTTAGCCAACGCTATGGATCGCATGGAAGCTCGGCTTCAATCGAGCATGATCAACCAGAGAGCAAGCGGACAGCGCTGCTACAACTGTCAAGAAGAAGGACATCATGCCGTGGATTGCCGCAAGCCATGTCGTATATGTAATTCATCACAACATCGATCAAACAGCTGCCCTAAGCGAGTAGGAGGCTCGGGATCTAGGGGTCCACAGGATTTTCAACAGGGTTACCAGTGAAGACAGGCGAGGCGGCCAACAATCCAAAAATAAATCCTGTCAATTCTATCCAATCGGTATATGCAACGAGGGAAGACGATGCAGTAGCACATTAGACAAGAGGCAACAAACGCGACCATGAACCAGAGGAAGAGCACATGAATGTAGACTAGGTTGAACAAGGACCAGTAACATCAGTAGGAGCTAGAGCAGATGACCGATATCTTAAACTGGTGGAAAACCTTGAGAAGGCGAGATGAGCAAAAGCAAAGTATAAGCAAGCGGACGACGAAGCTAGAGCACGAGGAGAACTCCCGCTGTCGTATCAAGGCAAAGCAATGCAGGCGTTTCCGTTGATCCTGAACGAAAACAATTAAGTGAGATAATTCGACGTCAATCAGGCCCTATGAGAGGCTACCATTAATATGCCTCTACCACAGCTCATGTACTACTCACCAGTGATACGCAACGACGTGATCAAGGCATTTGGTGTGACAACTAGTACAGCGACAGCTAGACAGGCAATTCATCCAACTGAAGCTGCGAGTCATTATCAAGTCAATGTCGTGAGTGAGGCCCCTAGAATCATTGACACCACTACGACTGAGGACGTCTATGAACTACAAGCTATATTTGGTATCCTTGAAGGACTTTTAGAAGCTATACCTATATTAATCGACTGAGGCACGCACATCTCAATTCTACCTGAAGCATTGATAAAATCCACACATCTGGTAGATAAGATGAGACCTATAAAGCGATGAATCAAATTTGGTGGTGGAACAATAGAATGTCCAGTAGGCGCAGTAGAAGCTGAATTGACCTTATCCAAGGATCTAAAGGTAAAACACTGGTTTCAAGTGGTCGCCAATCCCAATACGCCATTCATTCTTGGTCTGGACTTTTTATATCATACCAAGGCAGTGGTAGATCCTTATCACCAGATCCTGACTTTCGCAGAGACTTAAGACACTGAAGGCAATGCTATACAAATACCCTCTTACTGGGGTTTTGGACCAAAATCAATGGCGTCCGCCAAAACAGCAGACGAGGACCTAGTTTTTGTGTGTTTGATGAGTGAAGCAGGAGAGGATGTAGTGACCTTAGAGTCAGATCTTGTCCTTAACAAAGGAGAGATACTTGCTATGGAACTCAAGATAGAAGGGCTGCACTAAGCGATAGATAGACATCGAGTGTTAGAGACACATGAGACCGGTAAGCATGAAATTATTATCTGCCCCTCGAAGATACATCAAGATGGAACGACCACAATGATCATTGCTAATCGCAGTGGACAATGCATTGGTGTCAAGGCCAGCGACGTGATAGAAGAACAAACAATTACTATAGTTAATAAAAAATACAATATTTTTATTTTTTTTATAGTATAATATTATTGAGTAAATATAATTTAAACATTTTATTTTCTCATTTTCTTATAGAAGAAATATTACTTAAAATATATTATATCACTATAGTAACTTTTTTTTTCTATTTCTGGGACTTTTAAACAAATATAATATACAGTAATAAATTTTTATTTGTTGCTAAGTTACATATTTTTAATTCCAAAATTGAATTTTATATATAGTTTAAAATTATTACCCAATATAGGATTTAATTATGAAGTCGGACATTGAAATTATGAATGAATATACTAGTAAAAATGATGAAAATATAATAAACTTAAAAAATGAATTAAAAGATGAGATTAATAAATTAGTTTTAAATCAATGGTCTTTTTTTAATGAAAACTGGAAAATTATAAATTATAAATATAAGCATAGAACTGAAATAAAAAATATAAAATTTATAGATGAAGTAAAAGAAGATTTATTACAAAAATTAGGTTATACAAGTGTATTTTTTTTCCTAAATAATTTATATTCAAATATTGAATACCCATTACCATATATAGAAATCGAAAAAGGTTTAATGTTAATATTTCATTTAACATCTGGATAGACTAGTAAAGATATATAAAAATATACTCATATACTAGCTTTTATGCATTTTATAAGAAATTTTAAATTACAAATTATGATTCGTTAGATAAAAAAGTTAATTATTATTTATTAAATATGTTCTCAAATATGAAAATAAGAATTTTATCAGTATTAATTAAAAACCCTAAAAATTTTAAAAATATTACACTATTATTAGATGGACATAATAGCTCTATTTCTTACAATAAACCAAATATATCAATACAAAAACGGTGGTCATATAAATTAAAAAGTTCTGGTATTAGAATATAAGTTGTTTCAGATATAAATAATATGGTAATATATGTATCTTATAGTGATTTATGTGGAAAAGTTAATGATGGTATAATGTTTCTAAATATGAAATTATATAATAAAATTTTAAAGCAAGACTGTATAGCTATTGATGGAGGTTACACCTTATTTATAAAACAATTTGAGGATTTATGCAATAATAAAGGATATGATTTAGATGATAATAATTTTTTCTATCTAATTAGAAAAGAAGTAAATGAAAAATTAAATGAACAAGAAATATATTATAATAAAGTCTTTGGAAGTTTTAGAAGTAAAATAGAAAATCAATTTCAAGAATTATTTAATAAGTTTAAAAGATTTAGTAATAATAACTCAACATTAAAGACAGATGATATTAAATATATAAATTTACAAATCAAAGTAGCATTTTTATTAAAAAATATAAAAAATTTTTCAAATATATTTAATATTATTACATAAGAACATTATAAATTATGGAAAACTGATAACTTTGATTTTCCATAAGAAAATAGATTAATTGATATTGTTTATAATAATGAAATGAAACAGATTAATAAATTTAAAATATTAACAGAAATACAAAATGATTTTTTAAAATTAGATATAAATGAAAATATAATTATTGATGAAAATATAAATTCTACTAATAATAATAATAATGACAATGAAAATGAAAATAATATAACTGAAGAAAGTGATTTAGACTATCCCGAATTAAAAAAAGTTATTAAAAAAAGAAGAAAAAGATTATATAAATCAAATAAAAAAATAGAAAATATGAGAAACCTAAATAAAGATGATAATATATATGAAATAGAAAACATAATTGAACATAAAATAGAAAATAATAAATATTCCTTTTTTGTTAAATAGAAAGGTTATGATAATAATGATAATTCTTGGGTTAAAGAAAATGATTTTTATGAAAAACAAATTATTAAAGATTATTTTAAAGAAAAAATATTATATATTAAATTTAAACATCAATTCTTAAATGTATAAAAATTAAACTATAGTATAATTATTATTCTATATTTTTGGATTATTTTATAAATATAGATTGTTCTACATAGGTGCTATACGCCGAATCAAGGAGATGCTGCCCCACCCCACCATTGAAACTATTGAGGAAGCTATGCATCAGTTACGAGAAATCGTATAGTATCTGGATCATCCACCGCCTAAGGCAGAAATGGCTTCAATCTTCGTCAACCTGGAGCCAGAAGAAAACTCTGTCATAAATATGGCCTCTGCCACACCAACAAAGGAATTCAACATCAATCCAAGCCTCGCACCATAAGAGATGAAGTCGATACAATAAGTTTTAGACAAGTATCAGGCTAGATTTGTTAGCTCATTGGCTGAGGTTGGGGAGCTTAAGGTACCTCCGTATGACATCGAGGTCAAGGAAGGTGTATGCCCTAGGAAAGTCACCCCATATGCCATTCCCGTGGAAGCGAACAAGTGGTTGAAAGGATATTTGGACCAGCTTGAAGAACTGGGCTTCATTGAGCATAGCTCTGGACCCTGGGGCACCGGAACAGTTCTGATACCTGCAGACGTTGACAAGCGTACCCCTCGTATAAAAAGGAAAGCCAAGCCCATCTCAAAGACGCCTAGAATCAGAAATTCTAGATATGGCCCTGCAGTACCGGTTTGGGTGTACTAAGTAGAAACTGGGTGACCGTAAGAATTTACCCGGGGTGACTGCTTTTTCTCGAAAAGTGACTGTTTTTCCTCGACTACTATATATAAAAAGGTGGGTGCGAAAGTGGTTAAGGCATCAGCTTACGACCCAGAAGATCAAGAGTTCCAATCCCTCAGCAACCAATAAGTATAAACCTCATTTCTGGCTTACCTAAATGTTTCTAGAGTATAGGAAAATAGAATTACATATAGAGTCACATATAAGCAGTAATCTCAGCTGAAAAGAAGGCCAGATTTGTAAGAAAATTTGTTACTTATTTTTATGTTACTATAAATATATATAAGATAGAAATAATAGAGTGGTATTTATATAAGAGTAAGATATAGAATAGATAAGATAGAAAAGGGTTTGCAAGGTAGCATAAGTAGAGAGAGAATGAAAAGGAGGAAGGAGTAAAAGTAGAGAAAAAGAGTGAAGAAGGGAAGGAAAATAAGGCTAATCTTCTATATTAACTTCCTCATTACTACTATTTTCATCCTCATCACTAATAATAGTAATAATATTATTATTACTTGTTTGTTGTACTTGTTGTACTTTTGTGCTTGTTGCCGATGTTGTTTATACAGCTGATTTAGCTGAGAAATCAACTGCCATTGCTGCTGTAAGAGCTGTTGCTGTTGTTGGACCTATTGGTCTTTTTGCTCCAATTTAGATTACAGCTGTGTTATTTGCTGTTGTTGTTGCTTAAAAGCTGCTGCATCTGTAAATGTTGTTGTTGTTGTCTTTGCTCTTGCTGCTCAGATTGCTGTTGTGACTGGCGTTGTTGCTGTCTATGTCATTGTTGTTATTGCTGCTCTTGCTGCTGTCTCCTTTTATCCCAACACTCTATATGCTGTAGAACTCTTTGTCTTTGCAGATTAAGAAGGGCCTTATTTTACTGTTCTTGTTGCTGTTGATCTTCTTCTTCTTCTTCTTCTACTTCTTCTCTTTCCTCTTCAAGGTTAAGGGGGTCTATATTACCCTCCTCTTGGTCTAGATCATCTCCTTCTTCTACTGGTACTTCAGAGAAAGGTTCTAAGAGCCTAACAGCATCATCAGTACAACCCTCAAAAGGTAGCTGCTGATCACTAGGATCTATGAAATATGATTCCCTTATAACACAGAGAAAATGATTCCATAGATCATCAGCAAACTGCCTTTGCCAAATAAACCAAAAAAGCTGCTTTTTAACTAGCTTTCTAGTTCTATAGTTCCGGGCAATGAGCTGCTTTATCCCACCCCAATTGCCTAAAAGAGAGTATTAGATAATATATAAAAGGAGAAGATTTTTTTAAGAGTTACCTTCAATAGTGTTGGTATGGATCTGTGTAGCAGGAATAACAAAATATAGCTCATGGTTCACCAGATGATGCATATAACCCATCCTCTCTAACCGTTGGGTATTATAGGTGCCCATCCATCAGAGTAAATAATTGATCTAGGAAAGATATACTTTTGGATCAAGTGCTCTAATGTAGGGTGGTTGCACCGGTCTACATTCACCATTATGATACGTTTTTCTTATGTACGTTCTACTGCCCCCAAACCCAAACACCTTCAACATGGCTACTAATACCATTGGCAGATGGCTTTCTTTTGCCAAACTTCGATTCGTCGATCTCCACAATAATTCCTGGGCCACCAATTGGTTCACCTATAATATTATTAGTTATAAAATATAATAATTAAAGTAGAAAGAGAAATATACATACCTTCGAATATACTCTCCATATCTTCAATGATTAGTTGAAAGTAATGATATCTTATTTGGCGAACTGTCTCCCAAGCTAGTTTAGTCTTATTAATAATATTAGTAGCACTAGTATTATTTAATAATTCTAAACCAATTTGTAAGACAACATGTGGAGGTACATTCCGGTGTTGAAAAAAGGAATGAGTCCAAACAGTCTGCTCCAAATTACAGCTAGTACATCGGAAACTGCCATTTGCTCCTCTAGACCAAGAAAGAGGCATATCTTGGTCACAGTTAAGGCACTTCATTCTACGCTAAAAAATGCCTTCTTCATATAGATACTGAATACAAGCCTCAGTATTTAAGAAGTAAGGCTCAGTAGGTATAGGGATATTGTTGTAGATTGGCATACTCTAACTAGTTAGTACCTTTACTTTTATACTTAACTCTCCTTTGAAAGAATACGTAATAATAGTTTTTTTTATGTATAGAGATGTAGTTGTATATGTGTATAAGTGTTTGAATAAAGGTAATTAGATATAGGTAGGAGAAAGAGTAGATGTAGTAGATGTAAATAGTGTTAAGGGTTCAGTTTGTTTTTTTCTCGTGAGGAAACTGGGAAGACCAAAGAAAAAAAAAGAAATCTCAAAAAGATATTGTATTTATACCTTATAAATATACGTCACATAATTCAAATTCAGCTCCGATTTATTCCATTAATAAAAGTCACAATCTAAATTTGGGTATATTAAAGTATTTTTGTTACTTAAGTATTATCTAGCAACTACTGATATTTTCTATCATCAAGTACTCATATCTTATGAGATACTCATTCATTTCATATAAAACAAATAGTTTTAAGTTTACTATACATTATATTACGACAGATGCTCTTTGCAAATTTTTTAGATATCTATAAAGTATTCTACTACATTGTAAATAGATATACAAAAAGTATAATACTATAAATGTATAAGCAATGGGATCATCCATAGACGTACTATACAGAAGCATATGCTTTTATACTTATTGGAACAAGGAAAAAAAGCTGCATCTGATGGTATATTATTTATATGAAAATAACAAGAATTGATTGGATAACAGCAAATGTCGTAGCAAGATTTGATAGTGACACACTGTTTCCTTTTTGGATTTTCCCGCTCACTTTTTGATGTATTTCATAGCCATTTCTTCTACCTGTTTCTGTTCCTTCATATTGTAACTCAATCATCCCTTCGCCGTTATTCTATAGCTACTTCTTCCTAATTCATCCATTCACTCACTAGAGCTCAATCCACTATCCAACATTAGCTACAGCTATTCTTTCTATCTTCTTCTGTCGTGCAGCCGACCTTATATACATTATCCACTATATCTTGCATTCATTGTAGTATTCATCATTTTCATATTACCTTGGACAAAACATATAAATACCCTTCCTCAGTATATACAATAAAGGATCATCTTCGAAGTCATCTTTTACACTCTCTTTATTCTTGACACCTCTCTTTCTATTGGCTACGGAACTGACCCGCCAAAAGGATTCGACACAAAAACCAGTTCTCCAAAAAAAAAATACATTAAAATTTGGCAAAAGGGGGATTCGAACTCACGCTGCTTGACACAAGGCAAGTGCGTTAGACCACTTCACCATCGCAAAGGTTTTAAAAAAGTTAAACTATACAAGTGTCCCATTGCTGTAGCCCTGTAAAACGTTTAGACACCAGAAAAACCATTTACCACTCTATTTCCTTTTTAAGAAGTCACGTGATGTAAGCCACTTATAAGCCACCAAGCCACTGGGTAAATTCTTACAGTCACCTGAAATATCCATGGTTACGCCATTACCAACTGATGATTGCGACATGTTATTGCTCAAGGATTCATAGAGAGCAATCATACTAGCTACTATATTTGAAGTCAAATATCACTATTACTATACTGATGCTTGGAAAAGTAGCTTATAAAATACCATCCTACTGTGTCTCGCCTCTTAATACAACATGATCACGCTCATTGTGGTTTTGCCGTACTCGATATGTCACCAACTCATAACCCCGTGGGTTTGACCTACTGTACGTTCGATAGTAGTAAGCAACCATACGTCTATTGCTTGCCATTATGCATCAACAAAAAAGCGGATGTAGATAAAAGATTAACCTCAAAAGAATTCACTTTTATATAAGAAAAAGCTTCCTATGAACAGGGTCGTCTTTAATAATTCAGGGGTTGTTGCTCCTACACTGTCCCTAACTTTTCAAATCTCTACTTAATTGCATTAGTCATTCACAATGATGGGGGATATCCAACTCCAATTAGATATTAGATAATACTATTGGCTGTAAGAAATCTATTGGCTGTAAAAATCCAAATTGTACAAAAAATTGAATTTTGTGTATATATAAAAATAATTGGTAAGAAAGGAATGCTAGGTATGAATTCACATTATGTTATATACCAGTTGAAGAAAATATTGTAAATAGTACTGAATTTATAGCAAGGTAATGAATATAGGTTTCGAGAGCATTTAATAGAAATGTTATCAGAAAACTATTAATTTATGCCAAGAAATAAATTTTAAACTCAATAACTTTTTTGAATTTTTATATTTGAAAAAAGAAATTGTTTCAAAGATTCAATAAAAATGGTTACATTAAATGAATTCCTCCCAATCAACCATACCCAATTATGTAATAATCTTAACAAAGAATTAGATGTATTTATGGAAAATGAATGGATTCTTACATTAATAAAAATATTATAGAAAAATTAAAGATGAAAATACAAAATAAAATAAAGTCATTGTTTTCAACAGACTACTTTTTATACTTGAGCATGAATAATGATTTTTGTACCTATAAATTTAAAAAAGGAAAACGTGATGGTTAGTTTTGTGGTAGAAAAATCAGAACAAATTTACCTAATAGTAAAAAGGATTACCTTTGCTGTCAACATAGTAAGCTTCATATTCCTTAAAATAAAAAACTTGTTGTTTATAAATCTAATAACACTGAAGATGAGGAAATTGAAAAAAAAGAAAACAAGAAAAAGAAAAAAACTAAACCTATTAAAGTTATTATAGGAAACCCATTTTATTTATATTTCAATTTTATATTTCAATTCAATCATTCCTTAAATATAATCAATATTTACAAATAATATAGTATCAATGATATATTACCCAGAGTATGCAATTTTATAATATACCAAGATTATGCTTATTGATATATTCCTTCAATAAATCCTTTTGATTAAATTTATCAATTGATAACCAACTGTTATCATTAGCACTATATCCAACCCATTTTACTTCAAACAAATATGTACAATTTTCAGTTTTATGCTTAATAATCTCTTCTATTTCATATGATGCCATTACTTGTTGTTTCCCTTTATTTCACTTTCTTTTTTTACTATGCTCATTAGATCTTGGAACATCATCATTATCACTATTACTCTGATTTGAATTATTATTAGATTCATTATCAACATTCATTTCTTCATTTGATATAGCCATATTAAGCAGGTTATTTTGTAATCTGATCATTTTATCCAGTTTATCTTTATTTTGTTTATCATTGCTGACCACTATATCAATTAGTTTATGCTCTACTGGAAAATCATTACTGTGCCATAGTTTATGGTGTGGTAAAATAGGAATATTGAACATTTCTACAAATTCTGTAGTATTTTTAATAAACAAGCTACACGAAATTGCAGATTATAGTATTTTATGTTATCCATTTTAACAACTGACTTGTTATTATTGAATCAGCAGAATTTATTCCCAATTTCCGAAGATTTGTTTCTCAACTTTTGTCCTAAAACTTTCAAATGTCTTATTAAAATGATCCTCAGTAATCGTTAAGGGCTCATTTACATTTTTACATATAGGGTATACAAAATTATCATGACTAAAGTTATATCCTTTTTCATTAGCAAGCTCTGTAAATTGCGTGATAAATAAAGTATATATACCATCAACTGCCATTATGTCATTCTCATGCATATATTTAAATAATTTCATGTTTAAAAACATGCTACCATCTGAGCTATCAGAACAAAAGTCACTTTTAGAAGTATAAATAATCATATCATTCATATCACTAACAAATTGGGTACGTATTCCATTCTTCTTAAATTTATAAGAATATATTCTTTGAAAGTGGTCAATTTCAGTATCTACATAGTTAATTCTTGAATCATGGCCATCCAATATAAGTGTTACATATTTAAATAAATTGGGATTATGCTTTCTAGCAGATAGAATACGTAATTTGATAGATGAAAACATGTTATTCATTGAATCATTTACTATTTTGTTGATTCGTTTGTAGTTGTCCTCATCCATCCAAAACTTTTTTAAAAATGTATGAAATGTGCTATGTGGTGAGTATTTTTCAAATTTTTCACCACATACTCCAGAGACTAAATGATATAATAAAAACAATCCTTTTTCAATTTCAAAGTAAGGTCCGGGATATTCCTTGTTTGTATATAAAACTACTAGAAAATATAATACAGCAACATAACCTAATTTACATAATAATTCATCCTTAATTTTTATTTATGAATTTAATATGTCTCAAATCAGTTCTATGTTTATATTTATTATGTACAGTAGGCCAGTTCCATTCTAGGAATTACCAATAATTTGCAATAATTGAGTTTACTTCATTTGTTATCAGTGGTGTATAGTTTGTTGTATCCATTGGGTCGTTCTTTGTTTATATTATGGATTTTTGATTTTTATAATCATTAAATACATGATTTTGGTCACATGATGTCATAAAATTGATAAAATATCAAAATGTATGATATAATTTAATATGGCAGCAAGCAATTTATTAGATTTATCAAAAACTATTGTAAATTTATAGCCAATTTGGTACTGCACATCCCGTGATGAAAAAAAAAATAAATGCATTCGATCAGTACCATAAAATATATGCTACTTTGTAATATACTGAGAATGTTTTTATATATAAAAATGCATTGTAGCATCCTTTTTTTGGGATCTAACTGGTTTCGTCATAACATCAAATTATATATACAACAGCGGCATTTTTCGGTACTTTACATATGTTTGTAAGAGAGCAGTATGAAAAGTATATATGATCTTTTGCAGCAAGGGCTGTAGGGGGATTATGAAGATGCAGAACAGTGGTAGTGCGAGACCCATTACTTTTTTTTAGGTACATGGAATAGTGCATGTTGGTGTACGTGAAAAAATTCATAAAAGACTTCTCTTTGTAACGAAAGCATATACTCAGAGTGCTTCATCCGATGTAGTATTGAGTAACTAACATGAATTTCTGTTCTTGCTGCTATTGTATATACTAGGAGCTATTTGGACCAATATAGTAAGTTTACATATACAAACAGAAACTTCATGCATAACAACTGCATCCACTCTCTGAAAACCCCCCAGCTTCTTTGGGGGCACACCTTGCCTCTTTATATACAAATATCAAGGTCTTTCCAAAGCCCTTCATATTGGCACTTTTCGCGCGGTGAGGATGGGCAAATTCAATGGCACTATCACATTCTTGCCTTTCTTGTCTACCCAAATGTTCTACACCAACAATGTTTCCAACACACTGTACTTTTGTCCAACGGCATAGACATCGACCGCCTCTACCATGTACACACCAGACTTGTCTTGGCCTGCTGCAACGCCAGACGATGACGGAACCTTGTATTCTTCATTATTTCTTATTGGGGAATGGGAATTCGATTAGACGACAGTGTTCCCGCCTACTGCTGCTCGTGGCTATCTCCCTGGTCCTTATACACGAGACTTGGATACTGCATCGATATATGGCCTTCTTGGTTATAGTTCCCACATTTGGGTGGGGGCCTTAGTGGGTAATTGGGAGGGGTTCCTCTGTACTGCTGCGAGGGTCTAAGTTGTAATTGCAAGGCACGCATACTTTCTGCCACTTGCATCAACAATGTGTGCGCTTGCAACACCGAATCCTCTGGCGCCAAACTTGAAGGTGCCGCCCTGCCTGACGAAGCCATGCTGCTACCCACCACCTTGACTTCAGACTTTCTTCTTGATGCCACACCACTCGCCCCCGAGACATTCTGGCTGCGCAAATACTTGTTCCTTGCATTCTCGATGCGTACTGCCTTGTCTACCGCCTCTTTCCATGACGTTGCCACCACTGATTCTTCTTTGCGAAATGCGATTTCTGGATCAATAGCTTGGACGAAATAACGGACTTGGTACGACTCCTCAGCTAACCCAACCAGAGAAAACAGCTCCTGTAACTTATATGCGACATCCTCGACGGTTTCGCCTTGGTCTTACTTTACACGTTCGAATTCGCCCACCATATCTCTCGATGTTCGGCCGAAATAAACCGCGCCTTAAACGCCTCTTCGAACATTTCCCACGTAACGATGCTATCTTCGAGCAGCACCCACGAGAGTTCAGCTTGCCCCTTCAGATGCGAGGCCGTGACGAGCAACACCTCAGCGTCGGACAGGTTGCCTCATTGCTAGAGATGTCGAACTTGGCGAAGCCACACTATTGGATTCTTGCCCGAACTGGAACCAGAGAAGGAGCCAGGCGATAAGATAAACTTGAATATCTTGTTGTTTAGGGAATTTCGTTCATTGTTCTTAATGTACGACACGGTCTTGTTCTTAAAT